CATTGGTCTCAACATGTGTTTCTGATGAGTATAGACTTTGAGATTCACTTTAATACGCAAGATTTTGTCCTAAGATAATCATACAATTCTTCTATATGATAGAAGGCATTCAAATAGAAATTTTGATGATCCGGGCTTCATAAAAAATAAATGAAATAATGTATTTCATTAGATTTGCTAATGTTGAGGAAAATTGATGATTTAAGTGCGTTTCTTAAGACATTTTGGCCCAATTTCTGAACCAAATTAGATATTCAGGCGTTGACATTGCGCGTTCAGGAGGATCGCGGTTCAGTGCGAGAAGATTTTATATTAAAATTGTGACCGTGGAAGCCACCCCTCACCTTTCCAAGCATGAGTTTCCTCATGTTGTGCCCTAGATCTCTCGTTCGAAACCTCTCCTCCTCACAAGAAGAAGTTTTTTGTCATACCCTAGCTCTTTGGTTCGCACCCTCCTCTTCGCAAGAACGAGACACATCCTTCGTGACCTCCACTTTACAATTTTCTGTCGCCGAAAAACTGCATTTCGGCCCTCTTGCTCCTCTTCCTCTCAAGGTAAGATCTGAGAGATGTTTTTGCACTTGACTTTTCCCATGCCTGTTGTATTCATGTTGTTTCCTTATTGGGATTCTCTTATACCTCTTGTTGAAACATTAGCTACTTTCCTAAGATGATAAAGGATGTTATTTTTTTTTAAGTGGGTTGTTCATACATATATGATGCATGTGCTAAAGATTGTAAATATACTATGAATATATTTTTATTCCTGCATTTTTTTAGCAGTAAGAAAGACAAAAGAAGGAAATCCTTTAGTTAATTTGCTATTCATTTGGCCTTCTATCAATGGAAATTTTGTAATTGAAATTTTGTGTCCGCTTATGATTCATTAGAAGTGTGGAATATTTATACTCACCATCATTCATTAGAACATGTGGCAAATTTTGCAATCAAAATTTTGCTTGACCAACATTTTATATTCTTGCCTTTCCTCCATTTTGATTTACCATCAAAATGAATACTGAAAAGAAGCTTGTTATATCAATGTTTCCTTTGTATTGACTTTCATCTTTGCTTCATTTTCTAACCAAAATTATGTCATTCAAGAAATGCTTTTCTCTTAAAAAATCAGATTGAAACATCTCCATGTTAAGTTTTACTCTCACAATGTATGTCCTTAGTTGCTTCTTCCCTTTCTAATTTATTATGATGTGAATGATTTAGAGTTTTAACAATTTAACTTTGAGTCTACATTGTAAAGAATTCATATAGCACAGTTAAATATAAGAATTGCAAGTACCTATAAAATCATTACTAATACCTATAACAAATATTTATTCACATCAACTTAAACAGGACGCTTTCAAACAAAAATTTTTCAATGACGATAACCGCTTCTCAAACACCAGCTTTTAAACAAGTTTTTCACAACAATTTTTGAACTGAGATTTCATACATCCATAGATATCCCAAATGCACCCTTAATCTTACAACTGAAGGCCATGTTTGGAAAATTTTAAAACCAAGAAGAAAATACTCTCTTCCTTGGAGAACAAAAGCATATAGTATGCTGTTCCAAAATAGTTCAGGAAATAAGTACAAAAAAGAATTACAATCAAAGTATATTCATGTCACAATAGACAAAATGACAACATTTTTCTAAACATACCAACAAAATGCTTTATGATAGATCAGATAACTTCTTAACATATTCTATATACATGAAAAATAAAGTCCCCTAGTAGGGTCTTCTTTTTCTTTTTTTTTTTTTTTTTTTTTTGTTTCTCAGAAGCACCTTCAAGCTAACCTGCAAGAGGAAAAAAAGGTGGTTGCCAAAATAAAGATGCAAAAAAAAGTTTTTACCTTAATTTCTCTTCAATGACTTAAGTCTTAGGAAGTATATCTTCTCAACAGGATCTCTCTAACCCCTTCATCAATCATTCTACCCCATAAATTCTAATATTTTGCCTATCATCACTTCACTTTCACCTCCTAGTCAAACCAAGCTATGCAAAGCTGTATGCCTTCAAAAGGAGGGCGAGACTCTTTTCAATAGAACTAAATTTTTGGTTAGCTCCTTTGCTCTTGAGCAATTCATTTGATTGCTTTGCAAAGCCACTTGACACGATAAAAGCAGTGAATTGCTATTTCTTGACCTTAACCTACTCCTTTAATAATAATAAACACAACAAAGGCAACTCCTTTTTTTAGCTTTATTTTTCTCATGTTGCAAGGAATTATTGCACTAGGTAAAACTAAATTATCTGCCGGAAAAGCTTGCTCCAAATTATATTCATGTAAATGTTCTTTTTGCCCACCCCAAAGTCAGCAGCATGACATTTACTATGACGTAGACAAGGTTTAAACCCAAAACAAAATTGAACTACATGACAGCCACAAGCCCCGTGAACTTTTTTACTAATTCTACACGCAACAATGTAGAACTATCAGCATAATAGATCATTGATAAGCTTCAAAGTATAAACCAACTCAAGTACAGATATTATTTCTTCTAAACAAAGTTTAAAACAACTTTTGAACATCAATAAACAAAATGACAAATAAATTCCTATATGTAGCGATTTTAATATTTCTTTTCTTTTGTCAGACAGAAGATCTCATCAGGAAATAAACAAAAGTAGATTCATGTTAAATTGAAATAAAATACGCTCCCCTCAACTAATACAATATTCTTAAACATTTGCACATCTATAAAGTCCCACTTATTACATCACAAAAATAAAATATATAATTTCCTTTGGGTTTCAAGAGCAATATTCACATGGAATGAAGGTGTAATGATGATGATAATGATGATAAATAATAATAATAATAATAATAATGATGATGATGATGATGATATGTAGCACATCCCTAAGGGACATATAGTGTTCAACATTTGTATGTGCCACAAAAACATTTCATTTCATTGTTTCAAATTATCATAACTACTTGTTCTTCTATGTACATTTATATTTACACATGACCAAACTGCTCTAAGAAAATTAAATGTAACATTTCTTTGGAGTAGTACAAGGGAAATTCTAGCATTTAAAACAATGCATGAGTTTCTACTCTCATGTTGATGTGGCACATATAGCACAGTGTCTAACCATGAAGAATAGAAGCAAAAAGTACATTAAATTTATCACCAATAACAAGAAGGAAGACAATATTTTAGATTTTTATTTAAGTTTCGAGAATTTAAATTTGTGTAAATTTTTTATTGTAAAATTTTATAATTGTGTTTTTTTTATGAGATTGTGTGCAAGAAGTAATTTGAAATTTAATTTCAATGGGGCTTAAATTTTCAAACCATGAGAAAAAAAAATTAATGGAGAAATACTTTATTGCATTTAAAATGTAATTAATTATTCATTTTTTTTTATATTAGGGTAGGCGAAGGGGAAAACCCCACCTCAATTCAAATAAAGTGTATTTGGCTGTAAGTAAAAAAGAACCTAAATTAAAAAATAATAAAATAAATGAACCTAGGAGTTCAACACAAACAAGGATGGAGGTCCGAGAGGATAGCAAAGTCGAGTTTAATGAAGATGGATAGAGATTGATTGCAATGATCAGAGCTAGTGAGTAGTGAGCAGGGTCGCGGGGATGAGATTTCGTGGTCTCAAGAGGTCGCATGCAATGCTCGAGCTAGCAATGAGCATCAACTGTGGGGAGACATCATCAAGAGTGATGTCATCAGCTGTGGTGCAAATGCTTCGTTATGCACATGGATATAATGAATGCTTTCTCACGTGCAATGTATTTAGAATTCATCTGAACCAAGAAAAATCCAAATATAACAAAAATGAACTATGAGTGGACTTCCAAATCACCAACAAATTATTTATATTTGGTTTTCTTCCAACCAATCATATAAAATTAAAAAAAAAACTACATTTGATTTACTTTATAATTATAATATATTAAAAAAAGCGACCACATAATCATTTCTCAATTAATCACTTTTTTCCAAATATATATTAACTTCTTTTTTATGTCACACTAAACTTGATGATCAATGACTTAGTGCTATGCACTTAGTTTCAAATAAAATATTTGATTTAACAAAAATTCTATTAGATTTACCTTTAAAACAATTATATCACCCGATCGCATAATATTGAAATACTTCTCCATGTTAACCACACAATTCTAGCTCTACTAGTTTTATCCATCCATACTTTCATTCTTTTGTTTGGCAGATCTAAGATACTTAAAACCATTGTACTAGGACAATGCTTGATATTGAAAAAATATTAGCATCTATCATAAAATTCATGCCGACTACAATTTCATATTGTCAGTTATTTGAATCTTTTTACTAGCATGCCACTTAGAGCTCTTTTGGTTACATGAGACTAGTACACGTGTTATAAGAAATGATTATTTTATTTCACTTAATTCCATCATTTATTTGAATGTCTCTAGAATCCAATCCACCTTTTCAAGCCTAAGAATATCTTTAAAATTCATCAAAAGTTAAGATTTAATTTTCACACTAAGAAAAGGGAGAGACTAAAATTATCACTTTCAAAATATGTTCCCCATTTACAAATAAGAAAATGAGCCCCTAGTCATCTTTCATTACCATTATTCCACCTTAATTGGTTAATCAAACCCATTCACCTGGTTTACAAGGCAACCACAAAATTCCTTGTGACTACGAACGTAATGATACGGAATTCCTAACTTGCCTCAAGCATCAATGAGGCTCCAGTTTTATTCACTGTTCAAAAAGTTAGGAATTACATGGAGTAGTAGACAGAGCTTGTATAGTCAAAATATAATTAAAGATTATTATTGGAAAATCTAATTAAATATTCATTTAGATTGACACGAGCTAATAATGCTAGAATTTATGTACGTGTTTGGTCCAAGTAATTGTTCCTTCCAGTATTTCTAATCAGAAACAAGCTCGCTGACATACTATCCTCATAGGCCCTGGCAGACAGGATTTGCTCGAACATTGCATGATCTAAATGGATGAAAATGCATACCTAAATGATGCTTCGTCCTTTCAATAAGCGATTTCCGGTATCTTGCCAGGACACTGGCCATGTAGGCTTCCCTTTCCCCGGTATCATCATCGTCCGCTTCCGGCTCACTGATTGTGTAGCACATTGTGTGAACATTTCTCCCAAGAACGATCTCTCTTTTCTTCTCGGCGCACTCTTCCAAAACTCCATTTAACTCCAGTGCCACGGGAGACACGATCTCCTTAGGATCGAATTCCTCCGGCAACGGCTCCACCTTTTTGCTTAGATTCATGGCTCCTTTGCTCATGCTTCCCGCCTAGCGGATCCTGTCGTTAACGACGAGGAAAAGGTCAGAGCAGATCGACGAAATGCTACAAGAAAATCAAGAAAAAAGCAGAAAATAGGTATCAGAGAAGAAAACAAACTGCGAGTTGTTGGAGCGTGGGACAGAGGAGAGGAGCTCTGGTGAATCTAGCTCTCTCTTCTATCCCTCTCGACGAACAACGGAGCTGAGGCGGCGGGTGAAGGATGAAACAGAGGGAAGATGGGGGTCATATATAGGTAGAAATGGCAGCAGCATATTGGTACCAGACTACCGGTTCGGCTCCTGCACCGATTTGTCGTCAACTTAGCGGCGTGAAAAGCCTGGTGGATCTGCAGCAGACATTTCGTTGACAGCCGTTAATTGACGAATAAATAAATTAAATTTTTGTTTGTTTTTGAATCATTAATTTATAAATCCAACCTGAGTTAGTTGAAAATAAATTAAAAATTATATATAAATTATAATATATACAAATCATCGAATATATATATATATATATATATATATATATATATATACATATGCATATATAAGCATATTCGAACTACTATTGAACAAATTGTGATAATGCAAACACTTATGTATATTTAGCTTATCAATTAAGCACTTATAAAAAGCAATTGAACAAGTGATAGTTATTGAGCTGAACACGATTAAACGAGATTAAAGAACTATTTTAGAGAACTAATTATAACTTTATAAGAAAAAAAAGCAATAAAAATGAATTTGTTTGCACTTCAATTTCTTTCTAATTTATGATATTTGCAAAAAAATTCTAACCCAACCTCATTTTAGACTCACAAGATTAAACGTGTTGATTTTTCCCGCCCTTTTTGGTTAATTTGGCTATCATTTCTTCATGAAATGATTTCCCTACTCATAAGAGAGAAAATAAAGCTTAGTGGTGTTATTTTTTTTCATGTTTGAGGTTGTACATAGTATTCTAGGTGTTTTATATATCTGTCTATCGTTTGAATGTTTTTTGGCTTGATCGGCTGAACTTGATTGGCTTCGATCTGGCAGGATTGGTACAGTCATGTATGAGCCTACTGTTCAGTTACTTATTGGCATGGTGAGCTGGCTTGCTTTACTTCGGGTTGGCAGGACCAGTTTGGTCGGCTAGCCTTGGTCTGCATTGCTGATTGACTGATCTAGTTTGGTTGTTCACCCTTGATCCTTGGTAAGTAACTCCTATTGGTAGAGTGATGTTAGACTATCGAGTTGAGGGTGAATCACAGTAACCAGATAGATAGCTCGCTCCTTGATGAGGAGAGCCCGAGGGATGACTTTAAGAATCTTTTGTTGTATTGTTAATTCTTTCTCTAATGTGGAGCCTTGGGGGTGTTCCTGGGATGATTAGTGGTATTATGGAATTATACCTGTTATTCGATTAGATCTATCAGAAAGTAGACTACTATATTGGTTGGCTCAGTCAGTTGCATCCAGTTGAATAAGTGGGTCTCTTGGACTTCTACTAGTATGCCCTCTTTCGTCAATCTCTCATTATCTAAATAATTAGATCTCCCTAGTAGTTTTCCGATTCTCTTACTTCTTTAAAGTGACAATACAATAAAATTAAGAGAATTTAATAGAAAAATTATATGGCATTTATTATGAATCAACGATTCAATAACTAAACTCCTTTGATTTCAGTGCCTTTGCTCCTTATAAATAAGGTGTGATAGGACTCTTAGACATTCCATATTTATTTTGCATCCTTTCTTGTTTGAATTTGTTGACTTCCGAGCATTGTAATGGAGAACATGTAACATCCATTGATTGAAGTCTCCAACAAAGATATGTTTCATGCTGCCTTAGGGAGATCAAAGGAATAGTATTGCCCAAAAGATGAAAAGAATAAGAAAATCTTTGTTAAGAGAAGAAAAGTGGTTGCACTAGCAAATTAGGTGGGATCGTCTGATTCGTTCCTCGATATCAGACAGAGGAAAGTTCAGATTTACAAACTATTCACGAAATGTTATCTCCTTAATGGTGTTCCTTGCTCCAATGTAAAGCCAATCTCAATCCCTTATATTTCTTGTTTTGCTTCATAACCTTACTGTAATAGTCAATTTATGTATATCTATTTAAATGCAGTTCAACATTTTACCGTATCTACAAGAAAAGATCAACGGAAGGCAATACCTTATGTGGTGACTTTATTCGGCGCCATGCTCTGGCTTTACCATGCAGTTATTAAAACTAATGCCATGCTGCTTATCATCAACTCCATTGGTTGCATCATCGAAACAGTCTATTTGGCTATTTTCTTCGCATATGCACATAAGAAAGCTCGGCTATATCACTTTTGATATAAGCAGTTTTTTTTCTTACATAGATACTACACAATTCTCATATTTTTAGTTTGTAAATGAGAACATTTATGGTGTTCCTTGCACACCAGATTAGCTCCATGGTGTGAATATGCATCTATTACGAAGAAAAATTTTCTGATCATGCCATAGTGAGGGAGCGACAGTGAGGGATGGGGGAAGAGGATAGCTGAGTCCACAGTGAGGGAGGAGTGCGAGCCGGAGTTGAGCGAAGGAATCAAACTAACGCGACAGTGGGGAGGAAGGGGGTCGTGAGAGCTTCAGCGTTGAGAAGATGAATTTCAATTAGATTAGGGCAGAGGGGTATTATAGAAGAGCGTTCCGAACATCCTTCCACGAACGCGGGCTGTAGAGTTCAATCTGTGGCGCGAGTTCCGCCAAATTTGTGTCCCACCGAGAGTGGGACGCCGAACCAAACAGTAACTTTTTGCGTCCTGCCACCGTGATGCTCTGCAATCGTGATCCCAAACGGACCCTAAGACTTATGTGACCAACTACGACATATGTTATTCATAGCTCATGCAACTCACAACTTCAACCCATGCAACCTACAAAACATCATCGCAACTCATCATTATGACCTATGTGACCAACTACAACCTAAATGGCTTGCAATTCGTGCAGCTCTCGACTTCGACCCTTGTGGTCTACAAACGCCATCATAGCTCACCACTATAACCTACGTTACAAACTAGAACCTATGTGGCTCTCATCATAGCTCACTACTATTATAACCTACGTTACAAACTAGAACCTATGTGGCTCACAGTGCAGCTTCCTACAGTGGCTTCTATGACCAACCAACACTCCTTAGACAACCATTTGTGGCTTACACGACAAACTAATACCATAACTTTTTCACTTACGAAATATAGGATAATTTGGTGACATAACCACCATCTACAATATTCACGGTGGACTACAATCTCCATAGCAACCGACTTCGACCCTTGCAGACCGCTATCACAGAGAACTAGCTTAATTACAACCAGATTATGACTATTATCGATGAACCACTGTTGATGATCATCTTTGTAACTTTATCTTTCCTGATTCATGGATTGGGGCCAATGTAAAATAAGAGCAAAAATTATTTATTTCATTTCTTATTTTTTACGTTTGTAATGTGACAAACACAACTTATTAATTTTTAATTTTATTACTACAATTTATTAATAATTAGTATTTATATCTTTACATATCTCAATTTTCTACAATGTTTATGCTATGCAGAAATGATGTACCATGCCAAAATAATGTTTAGTGATGGTTTTGTTGATTAAAATAAGTAGAAATGATGTTGTGTTTTCTTAGATTTTTGTTATATTTTTTGTATCAAAAGGCAATGCAAAAAAAGATGAAGGCATAGAACAACTTATAGATATTCTTGAAATTTCTGATAGATTAGTCTGTAGAAGCATGTTTGGAAATCATTGTTAGAATCTTCATAAAAATTTTTTGATAGGATCAATTTTCGGTTGGCTACTCTCCCTCTCCAACAATGTTTGTGATTTTTTTCTTTTTGATTTATTCCGAAAAACTTTTTTGGGTAGAAAAGTAATTTATTGATGTATCTTTGTTAGTTTTTCATTGATTTTGCCATTAAAAATTAATTAGTAATTTATTTTATAATGCATGTTATCACGATATTTTGCGACTTAGTCCATTTTCTTTAGTATTTTCATAGCACTGCATTTTTAAGAATGTTAAATTTAATGTTGTTCATAAAAATGTCAAGACCTTACTGCACACAAACTGAGCTCGAAGAAACACGAAAGAAAAGAGAGAAAATGGAAGAGGAAATAAATCATGGATAACTTTTAGTGTTCATAAAGAAAAAAAAAACCGTTGCCCCAAGTATAAAACTACAGGCCTGTTTGGGGCCGCTGCAACTATTTGAAGACGCAGAGATAGACTACTGCAAAAAAACAATTACTTAAAAAACTGCTGTGGCTATTGTAAATTTATTATATTTTCAAAAGCTAGACTGTAATTTTTTGGAAGCCACCGCACTACAATTTTCTCAAATATAACTCTGGTGACGGTCCAAAAAGCAAAACAGGCATAAACTTATCCAAACAGACGTCCAAAAAGCAAAACAGGCATAAACTTATCCAAACAGACCCTACGTCGCACCCATTTCTGACCTATGGCTTTCTATTTATAAGTGAGAGCAAAAGTCAATACTTCATGTTGCGCCACATCATAAATATCACATAGTAAATGATTAGAGTTCGTGTAGTGAGTGAAATTAAAGTACTTAGTCTCTCCGATGATTTTAGTAGTTTACTGCTAATTATTGAGGGCGAGGTGGAATCACTCTTATGCAATTTGGTGATCCTGAGATCAGTAGGAGTAAAGTTTTGGGCGATTAGTGCTAATCTTTATGAATTATTAGTATATATTGTGTTTAAGCTTAGAAACTAATTTGTGTTTAACATTTTATAAAATGGTCATTTCAACTACTGGACATAAGAATCTTCGTCAACCTTAACAATTAGTGAGAAACTAGTTTAAATCTCTTTTGTATAATGGAGTGTTACTAGTATCATCATTATGAATTATTGCTAAATCTTGTCTATTTGATTTTTCCATTGATGTGGACATGTTTGGAATAGCCTTACTGTTTCGCTTTCAGTATAGAGTTTCTGCTCAGAATAATGCTTTTTTTCAGTTTTCTAATCATGATGTGTATCGAAATTATGTTTGGCTTGTTCAATTTTCTTGTTGATTTTCATATTTTTGATATTTAAATATTGCTTGAACTTGCTAATTATGCATTATCATGCCAAATGGAAAGCATGCACGGGTCAGTTGAAGGAGAAGTTTTGTATTAACTGGATACCAACTTGCATCGAAACATTTCTTGTCATATAAAAAAAGTAGACACATTTGTATCATAAATTAAGATCGGATGTTTACACGCATGTCGTATATGCAAGGCCTTAAAGCTAAGACCTTCTGGTTG